GGGGACGGTAGTTGTGGGAACTGTTATATTTCTAGCAATGTCATTCATGAATTACAGAAGAATGAATTGCATTCGCTATTCTTCTCTGCACGGAAAGTTTCTGCTTTCTAATGATTCTTTTCCCTCTATTTTCTGTTTCTGTTTGGGCAGATCCTGAAGGTATAGCGAATGCACAGAAATCTCTTGGAATAGGTCAAGAAGAAAAAGTTCGAAAAGTCCGCTAGGTAATTTATTTAATTCCATAGAACATTTAATGTGTTCGTTTGAGAACTTCTAATATCTTGTATTGATGGAAGAAAGATTGTATTCCATAGTTGTCCTGGCATATGAATTCAGAAGAAGTATTACATAAATCAATTTCTGTAACTTCTGCCAGAAACATTCGTTTTTGTTTAATATCGTGAAATTATATTCCGACTCTTCGAAATTGTACAATGTTAATGCCTCGTGCAGTTTTAATGTTAAGCTGGATGGAAACGGTACACAATGACCACAACTGAACTGAAAGGTTGAGGATTTATATGTTTAGATTTAAAGGTTGGCGATCAAAGTTGCTACAAATGAAAAATGTTGAGGACTAATGCCACAATTTTCTCAAGATTATATTAGTAATTTGTTTTCCTTATTCAATATGTTCCTAGATCTGCTTAACATCCTCCTAAATTTAGAGAAACACTTGTTAGTATGATAAATGGATTCAAAAGGATCAATTTCATGTAGTTGCAGATACGGTAATTCCAATATATTCTGGTACATAAAGCACTAATATTATTGCAATTGGCAAAAGGTAACATTTCAGAATAGCCCACAAATTTGTTTGCACTAGACAAGTCAATTATGAGGTTACATGCACTTGACAGGACCATTTGCCTTTATGTGTTTTTTAGCAGTTTCGCTATATGTACAGTATTTAGGCATTTGACTTGCAGACTAATGTCCCAATGCCCCGAGTAAACTATTCATTACTCTACTGTCCACTGTCCCAGAGAACTAACACAACATTAGCATATTCTTAATAAATTTGATGTTAGCTTCGATTGTAAAATTTAAAGTCACTAGATCCTTAAAAACTGCATAGACCAAAAATAGTTTCACTTAATGATGCTATTGGAAAGTTCAGAAGGGAAAAAGAATCCCGAGGGTGAACTTCGCTGACTACAAAATCACCAGCCAGAGAAGAGGTTCGCACTTGTCCCTGGGGCCCAGTTGTTATGTAACATGGTTATTCAAAAATGACCACATAAAACCAAGGGCATTACTTAAACGTTATTCTGGGACTTGCAAAGAAATTTGATCCCAACCACGAGACTAAGAATTACACTCTAGGAGAAAGCCCTACAATGAAGCAAACTTAGGATCCTAGTTGGTGATGCCTTTCCCCAATGCAAATCTTATGATAGTTGATCATGTTAGTTTTAGTCTATCCCTCTTACTTACAATCAGTTTCTACTTTTAGGAAAACAAAGAAAAAGTATATAAACAAGAATAGACTTTATAATTGTTTTACTTCATCCCCTCTCTAGCAGCTATAAAGGGTATTATTCTTTATAATTGTCTAGTAGATGTTGCGGGTTCAGTCCCCGTCGTTCGCCCATCAATAAGTGGACCATTTGTTGGAAAATATCCTAGGTGATGGGTTCATTGGTGGTGCCGGTGGGGGAAGGAAGCCCCTTGACCTCTTTTCTCAAAAAAAGACACTGTGTGGGCAAGTCAATCAAAGTCAGAGCTGGGAGGGTTCCTGTCCTTCCTTTTGATAATTCATCTGAGAAATTAGTCTTTCAAGATTCAATCTTCCCCTTTGCCAAAAACTTGATTCTTATATATTCTTTAGATCTCAAATGAGGCAGCGGATGCAACTCAATCAACTCCAGAGGATGTAGTGAAAAGTCTGTTTTAAATTGTCAAATGGCAAATAGTTATTTAATGGAGATTTGAAGGCTTTCTTTTTTAGAGACTCATTGTGTAGCTATAACTAGAGTTTGGACTTTTTCATTGATTTCAAACCAACTTACTACAAAGGCAATAGATTCAGGTTGCGACTTAAAATTTTTTCTATAATTCTATCCAATAAGTTTGAGTGGTTAAATTGCCACTACAAATACTAGACCTCAGGTAAATCATATTTTTCTATGAATGTGCCGCATTAATTTTATAATCATAATCATAATTAATTTAAAAACTAAAAGATTGTGGTTGCATCCCTTCTCAATATTTATTCCCCCTATTTTCTCTCCCACCAGACCTATTCTTGATTTTCAACGGATGAGAGGTAGTTTCATATGAGTAACATGTATTACTATGGTTTTCTGGTTGTAGTGTTTCAAACAGGTAGCATATATGTTACTCGTGTTTTGTGGTACCTGGTGGGAGTGGAGTCATCCAGTGGTTTTAAAATAGTAACATAATTTGTTACTCGTGTTTTGTGGTGGTGGTAAGTAGCGATGTGGATTTGTTTCATATGGGTAACATATATGTCATTTGTGTTTTCTTGCAACGGGGTTGTTTCAAATGGATAACATTACTCGTATTTTGTTGTGGCAATGCTAGTGCTGGCAACAGTGGTGTGATGTATTTTAGACGACTAACATAATGTGTTACTTGTATTTTGCGTGGTGGCATCGACAGGCAGTGTATTAATCGTATGTTATGGTGATGGTATCAAGTTGTCTCATACTGTAACACAATGTATTATCTATCTTCTTGAAGTAATGGTAGCCAATGGACAGAATCAAATTAGAGCTTATTTAATGTAGATTTTTTTAGAATAGATTTTGTAAAAAGTGATTTTTCGAAGAATGTGTGATTAAAAAATATGAATGAGTTATGCGCCTGCATGCAAAAAGAATTATTTGGAGTATTTTTAGAGTTATGAAGAATCCCTACCAAATAAATTAGATCAAAGCAGTCCAATTGTCTTTTTAGACAAAAATTTAACTGACCCTTTCTTCTCTATACATGAAGCATTCTCTTTAGTTTTGTTCAAATGGAGTAGAAGTTGATAAATCAATATCAATGAGTTTGATCTCATTGAATGTTTTAATCATCTCATCTAAAACCTTAGAGCATTTTTAATGGGGTCATGAATTTACTATGTATGTCACATTAATCCAAAATGCTTACACGATAATTAAAAAGGTAAAGGATGTCCATCTTTAGAGTGTGTGCCTAAGTTTTTATAATGTGTCTCAATTGGAGAGGTGCCATTTAATTTTTTGTAATTTATCTCCACTCTCCTTTTACATCCTCTCTTGTGTACATGAGGCTTACAATTAGTAAAATCCACAATCCCATTGGAGATGCTCTTCTTTCCATCCCATTTTATTTGCCACTCTTACAATAATTCACATGTTGCATTGGCGATGCTCTCAAGTCATTAGAGAAAAATCACGTGTATTTATTTGAATCTTGTCTTTAAAATACATACAAACTTGAACCTAGATATTGTGTCTTACTCAAATACTCTAATACTATATCGACTATACATTTCATATAAGTATTTGAAGAGAGGAAAAATGGTCGATATTGAATCAATCTTATCTTCAACAGTAGGCTTACATATCTTCAAAGCACATTCCAATTATGGGCATAGTCCTAGATGTTCAATTCTCACGAGATATCACCTCATGAAGTACAGCTAAGAAGACATGCTCTATTTAATAAGGACATGTACTCTATAAATATGCATTACGAGGACCACATTATATATAAGACACAGAATTTTATTAAAAAAAGAGGGGTGCTTGGACGTCAGCGCCCCCTATAGGTGAGGGGCTTGCAGGAACAGGCCCCCCACCAATAGGGGGACGCCATTTGGCACCCCTTACGTCCAGGGCCACAGTAAAGTCTCAGCCTTTAGTTTCTCAGCAAATTTATGTTAGAAAGCAATTTAAATCTATTTTGAAATTTTCGCATATAAGGTCTTTAATCAGAAAATGAATTCGAAAGGAGTGTGTTTAAAGACATGTATAATAAAAGAAAAAAAATATCGTTTCTCTGACACCTAGATGAACCAGTTCAACAAATTTAAGAATATACTATGTAACATGAGACATGGTAACAAATTCAAAAAATATATAGATACAGGAAAGTAGTAACCATTACTCCATCCAAGGAAAAAGGATTTCACATACAAGCTTCCTTTATTTCTATGTAATCATAGTGTACAAGACTGTCAACACATATATACGACACAAAAAAGAGAAACACAAACCCTTTTATTTTCGTGTTGTTACATGCTTCAAACAAATCATTGCCCTAATACTATTCTAATTTGATTGTCCAAAGTGTAATAAATTGTCAGTGTCACAAAAACAGAAGAAAGCTAGAGGAAAAGGATGAAGAAAAAATCAACAGGAATATCATCATACGCTGCAAAATGAGTCAGCAAAAACTACGTCCCCAACAGGAATATCATCATACTTCAATGAAATACTCACTCTTGCCCGGGCCAACTAAGGACCTTACAGAATTGACTTCCCGGAAGGAGCCACTGGCCGCTTTACTAATGGCCGGACTTATGTAGATATTCTAGGTAACTTGAAGTATTTCACTTTCTTCAAGCATTTCATGTAAAAGTATAAATTGTTATTCCCGTAAACGAACTTATTTATTCTTCGACATGATCGGGGAAGCTCAAAACAAGTAAATTTTATCATGAAATTCAAGATTATGGAACTGTGGATTGCTTTATTGTGTTATTCTAGAGCTCAACTTTTAGGGTTTCAGGCCTACATTCCACCATTCGAAAGAACCAGTGGTGAAGCATTGCTTCGAGGGGACAAATTATGCAACGGAAGCAGCTGGAATCAGGGATGAAACAGGAAGCAATTTGGTAAAATGAAATTCCCTCATATATAACTAAGAAAACTTCATTTAATTCATGTTTATTTAGAAGGTATAGACCTAGATAAGGGATCTTTAACCAGTCAAATTCCCTTTTCCATGGCCTAATTGATTACTGAAACGGTGGATAAACATGGCTTCAACCTGATTTTTCTAACTTTTTATGCTCAATGAATCGGTTGATAGGAATCGTGAGATGGATAAATGTTACAAATGTAAGTTATATTAAAACTATATCCCCAAAAAATTTTCCAAAAAATTTGTAATAAAAGGCTTACTACCAAGTAAAACTTATAAATAAACAAGATATGAAGATCAACCGAGAAGTTTTGATACCCGATAGATATCGGGCAATGATGTTAAACGATTCGATTATATTTCACAGGTTTCGGTCAATGGGTGAGTCGATTATCAAAGTCTAAAATCTTGACCCGAAAACAATATAAAACGTTGGAAGTAATTTAAGAAATTAATTTTGCTCAAAGCCTTTATATTAAGCTATTGGATGACTTTTCAGTCTAGGCCTATTTATTCATCACCACTTTCTTGTCATTTGTAGGTTAGATTGAGAAGAACAGAGGTTAATCTATAGGATGTGTGTTGAGCAGTTTAGATTG